AAAAATGCGTTTTTGGCTCGGAGAAGCTTGGACAAACTATGTTATAAAATTCAATTATCACACAAGCGAAAACGATTGATTAAGTTATTAATTCGGGAAAGAGCCCTCTGTTTCCACTTCTTTTGGAATTAATTGCTAACTAGCTAACTATCGGCTGTTTTTCTTGACTTTACAAGAAAGGTTAAAGCATGGACCCAATATTTAAGTGAACTACTTAATCTCAATCAATTAAGACAAAAGTTGGTATTTGTGTTTAAGTCAACATTTTTAACTTTTTGGTTTTATTGAAATTTATTAATCCAAGTGGAATAAAATTAAACATTGTTGTAATTATATTTGTGCAATATAATTATATTTGTGGTTCGTCATTGCTTTCCCTTTCCGCCCAGTAACATAACACCAATAAACACCAATAAAATACTTAGCCCAAACACTAACACTTTAAGTCGTGGATTAAGACATTTTTACTTTAAAATTATTGTAATATTTGACAACTTCTTCTTTTTTCTTTCTTTGATGTTGAAATATAGAATTTCAAAGTATATTTTTCTTTGGATAAAGATAGCAAAACAATGGTCAAAACCGCGTCTACTCTGAATTGTCACAACCTAAAACATGATAGTAATGGTCCAAATAAGTCATATTTGCTGAGTTAGCCAAAGACTTTATTATGAGATTTTCATAAATTATAAATACACATTCTCTTTTGGTGGGGTTTGGGGTTCAGTCCATTACGTTTTGTTTGAGATCATAGAAATTTTAAGAGTCAACAACATGTTTCTTTGTTCATGAGCTTTTGCATTACTTTGTGAATCAACCTTACAACAACAACAACAACAAAAATAAACACAATATAATCTCATAAATGAAATCTGGGAAGAATAGTGTATACGCAGACTTTACCTCTACCTTATAAAGGTAGGGATGTTATTTTCGACAGACTCTCGGCTCAGTAAAAATATAGTCACGACATTATTGAAAAGAATACAATAATGAAAAGGAAGCAGTAACAAAAAATAGTAACAACAACAAAATAATAAAGTATTCAACTAAATATTTTTATATGATTTTCCGGCTAAGAGTATTCAACTGACCATCCTTCACCGCCAGCAATAACTCTATCCGGCTAGCGGTGGGGTTAAAATGTATTTTTTAAATTACAAGTTTTATCTTAGAAACGAGCGATAACTTTGTGGTGAATGTTATACCAAAAAGAGTGGTAACATAGTTAATTATGTCATAAAATTTACTTGTTATTTTGTAATGCTACAATAAGTTTTCACAAATAGTTTATATAGATACTTTAGAATCCCGTATTTAATTTATTTACATTGATAATGCAATAAACTTACACAATATCAATATATTTTAATTTCTTGTAGCATAGTTTGTCTCATTTTTCAAGGTACTAATTCTCTTTATTGCAAAAAACCAAAATTTTTATTATGTTTAGAGACTTTTTATTTATAAGGCAGCTTCTAGAAAATTGAAAATTTGAAATGTGCTCTTTGTTTTATTATTGTTTTTTGGCTTTATATTACCTACCACCAAATTGACGTGCTATCCCGACCTAGTTGACTTAGAGAAACACGAACTTGAAATTTCTTTAAGTATTGACAAAATAATGTTTTATTATTAGGAAAATATATTTATGAAATTATCAGAATTTCTTAAAATAGTATGGAGTGCCTTTTATTTTATGAAAAATAGTTGTGTTTAGCATGTAATTATACTAATTTTGGAAACTATTACCAAATCCTCTATGCGAACGTGCAACCAAATATCTAAATTGTTAGGTTAGGAACTTAGGAACATTAGTATTATTTCCATATAAAATGGGCCGAAGCTCAATCCTTTCCAACATTGAACTAATTAATCTTCTTCTTATTTGAAATTCTTTATCGCCTTTATATTAGTTAAATCACAACAAGAAAGAAACCTTTTCTATTTTTTTTAAACATTATTTTTCATCCTATTGTTTTTTCATCTAATTTTATGTGGCAAATCAACTCTGCTTTTGGTTAAAAGCAAATTTTTTCTAATGGGGTTCGGAGCTTTTTGGTTTAGTAAATTATAACAAAACCAATACAGGTTGATTAATACATAATACCCATACTTACCTTCTTTAATTTGTTTAGGGGGTTATAGGACTCCCGCAAAAAAAAGGTTTGCAACTAATAATTTCGCTATAGTTCGGGTGTGTTTTTATGCCTTTTTCTTCCCCTTTTGAATTAAAAGTTCTGTTTTAAAACGAAATTCTTATACGTTTAGAAATTGGAAAGAGAAGGGAGGAAATAGGTGATGAGGATTAAACCTACACCTATTTTGTAGATGAATTCTATCGTTATCACTAGATTATAAGTCTTTCTCTTTTCCGTTCTCATTTTTTAGTTTAATCTTTTGATATTATCTGTTGAAATTATGTTTTGACCCTCAAATTCAAACTACATGAACCTACCCTAATGTCACTCAAATTGTATAATAATTTTTGAAATTATTTATATATGTGCAGGTAATCCAGAAATTATACCACTAAAGGGAGGGGGAAAAAGGGACAAAAACAAAAAGAAAAACTTTGCGTAACTTAATAATTCTGTCCAACCAATCCCCCTAGTTGAGAAATTAAAAGAAAAAGGACAAAAGAAAAGTATAAGAAAAATGGTTATGTTCCAAAAATTTCTTAAGCAGTGGAATTTTGTGTTGTTTATCACCAACTACCCAATAGAAATAAAATGACTCAATCATGTCAATCATAATTCCCAAATTATTAGGTATTGGAAACTAATAGAGTGAGTAAATAAGCCAAAGACTGAAATGATTAAGTTATCATATTTGTTGACTAAATAACAAGTTGAATTTGACATATATATATATATATATATATATATATATATCGATAAACTCTTGGCTAAAGAAAAACAACCGTAGTTAAAAGAAAAGAGAAGAAGTCATATGGAAAGAAAAGCAATAGCAACAGCAAGATAATATGAAATTTGAAGTAAAAGAAATAACAAGTAATAGTAAAAATCTAAGACAAAAAAGTACGAGACAAATTTGTCCCATGCCATTTGTGGAATTCTTAAAGGGATCGTATAGAGAAGAGTTAATCCGATCACTTGTTCACTTTCAAATGAAAACTTAATTCTTAACTTAACACACTTATTTATGTTCTTTTTTTTTTATTCTTTAAGTCTATGATCAAGTACGAAAATGAAAAGAAACGAAAATATATTAGAAACGGAGGAAAGAAGTAATTTCATGTAAGTGAAATTAATGATAGACAACTTACTAAGTGGATGAATAGTGTTTATGACGTTTGAAATAATGTTACGAGAAAGAAGTTTTTAGTCCATAATAGGGAAAAGAATTTATTTTCACTCGATATTTGCATTAAATAAATTAATATGAAATACTTATCAATCATTTAATCATAAGATTAAGTGATTATTTTCTCTCTTTAATTTTGGAACTCTGAAGATAAGATTTCTTTGTAAAACACCAAGCTTGGTTACTAAATATTTCCGCAATAGAGAGTATTAGGCTCCTTATACAATTTCCTACTAACATGTAAAACAATGATTAAATGGCAGCTCGATACACGAAGCATTTCGCATTCACGCAGGGTTCGGGAAGTGTCGCATCTAAGGAGTGTGATGTAGACAGCCTAACCTAATGCAAACATTAGCACTGCTTACACGGCTCGAACCTGTAACATATAAGTCACACGTAGAAAACTTTACCATTGGTCCAAATTCCCTTCAATTTCATGAAACAAAAAAGGAAAATAAAATGAAGATACGTCTAAAACGTGCAATAGAAAAAATTGCTTAAAATAAGACTTGAACCAAACAGGAAATAAGGGAGGAAAAACGTAAATTAAGACATTTGCATAAATATAAAGCAAGAGAAGCATGTTTTCCTGCCGACAGAAGCAAAGACTTTAAAGGAATAACAGTAAACCTATTGCAGTCTATAGCAAAGTTTCTAATTTCCAAATTTAAGGAATTGTACTTTATTTCTATCAATTTTCTAATCTATAGTATTTTTCCTTCTTTTGTCTGAAAAGAAAGCAAAGTTATTTGACTTCTTTCTCGCAAAAGAAAAAACATCAAGAAGTTCCAAAAATTCAAATCGTTTTCAATGCCTTTGACACAATAACTTACTCTCTCATTCTTTCTCTTCCTACAAAAGCAAAAGGAGACTTCTTTAAAGTGGAACTAATTCTTTCCCTAAAGTCAAAGGAGGGTTTATTATTTATTAGAATTAGTTTCTCCGTTTAAATTTATGTGAACCTATTTGACTGGGCCCGTAATTTAAGAAAAGAGAGAAGATTTTTAAACTTGTGGTGTAAAATGAGGCACATATATTTTGTGTGACTATAAATCATTGCATAAAGGTAAATTGTTTCAAAATAAGGAAAGAGATCATTCTTTTTAACACGGACTAAAAAAAATAGATTCACATAAATTAAAACGGAAAGTATTATTTATTAGCTGTAACGATAGTAATAATTAATTTCAATAGAAAACCACAAAGCAAAGCAATCGAATTCCTAAAAGTACAAAAAGACAGAGATATTAAAATAATGAGATTAGTCACAAGGAAAAAGAAAAGGATAAAGTAAACCCTCAAAGATGTCAATCCTTTTCCGTGAAATGAGAAAGAATCAAAACCCAATTTTTTCCCATCCTTGATTTCCGTAAATTAATTCATCTTTTTCAATTTCCTTTTTGTTGGTTTGGCTCATTCAATCATTCATAATCATCTACTAGGAGTATATCATAATACCATCATCACAACTATAACTCATCATTATCTTATGCATCTAATCTAATTTATCTCGTGTTCACATGGGATTCAATGAAGGATCGCACTTGAATGAGACATAATTTAGACAGTCTACCCTAATGCAAGTATCAGTGGCTGATTTCACAATTCGTACCCGTGACTTATAGGTCATACAAACATAATTTTACTATTATTCCAAGACTCTCCTTAACCTTTCTAAAACAATATTAACCAAAAAACTTAAGTAGAACAAGGAAAGATAAAGATCATCGTTAAGAAGAAAAGATTAAAAGAAACATGAGTCCTTAGTTGCCAATTAGCTTAAGTTAAGCTTACTTAAGCCAAGTCTACCTAAATACGGCGTCGTTCTCGGTTCTCTTTTTTTTTTTTCCTTTTCATGTGACATAAAAAAAGAAAACGAGGAAATAAAGACTAAAAGACCCTTATTTTGGTAGACTTGACTTTGACGGCCACGCACTATTTTGGGGTCAGTGAAACAGTCAACGCCGTTAAAAAACCTCCAAACAAACTTCTTAAGCTTCAGAAACAGAAGCAGCGTCTTTAACAGAGGGATCAATTCCGCCGTTACCAATCGTGGCTGACTGGACAGTCAAAACCGACAAGTTAGGAGAGGATGGTCCACCAGCCTCGCCACCACCGCCGTTGGTGGCGGGGCCTCCTCCTCCGCCGAGTAGTGGGTTGTTGCCACCGTTACCGTTAGGGATCATGGGGTTCCTGGAGTGACACGTGGCAGTTGAAATAGCTGTAGCTAAGGAAATTGGCATTAGGCATAGGCCTTTCCCTTGGAGATATTGCATAGCTGAACCCATATCTTCTTCCATCAGTTTAGCCACCTGGTGCTCCGTTACCGTCATACTGTCATTGTTTGAAGACGACGCCGTTCCGTTTCCTCCCCTTCCTCCATTTCCTTCTCCTCTTCCCTGTAACAACCCAATTATTATATGAGTTTAACTTGTGGCATTACACTATTAAGTTATCTAAAAGATGATTGCTTACATGTAAATGTTAGTATCAATATAACTTATTAATACAAATTAAATAATGCTGATAGTTTAAATAAAGTGATTAGCGGCCAAAACATCCTTTAGAAAAAGGCGTTACTCGACACCATTTTGCAAGCAAAAAATATCTTTTTTTGTGTGTAAATATATATTTCTAAATAATAATATGAATATGTTACATGGCGATATCGTTTGAGAATAATAATACGAAGTAAATATGTTCAATTTGTCATCTATTTTTAGTTTATGTAGATAGATGGGTTGTTATTCAGATTAATTTTTAATTTTAAAATCAACATAGTCCTAAATTTAAAATTCATTTATTAATTAAATTGAGACAATAACTAATATCGCTTGTATAAAATTTAGCCTATACTACTTGAACGATAATGCTGTGTTTATTGATAAAGTCTCAAAATAGGGAAAGAATAGGAAAGGGTTTTTTTTGCTAGGAGAGGGAAAAACTGGAAAAGAGTGACAGAAGGGGGAACATAAGTGGGCACGCGTGATACTTTTTGTTTTTGTCGCATTGTGCTGACAGAGAATTTTGAGAGAGACAGATTAGAGAGGATAATTGGGTGAAATGGGGGGATTGTCTGTTCAAGAATTGTACCCATGCTTTTTTCTGGTAGTACTATTCCCTTTTTCATTTCCTGTTGTTTTTCCTTTAAATAGAAAGCTCAATAGGTACAACCATCCAACATAGGCATTGGCTATTATCTCAAAAAAAGATGATTCTCTTTCACATTTTCTTGTTTTTCCTTTTCATTTGTATTCACTTTCTTTAGGGTATTTATATGTTACAGCTAGAAATGTGATGGGATGAATAAGATCTGGACAATCTTGTGATAGATTTTGAGTTGGAGCCTATAATGAAAAAAAATCCAAGGAGCACTTTCCCTTTACGACTTACACAAATATGAATTTCGAATACCAGATAATCATAAGAAAGAAGTACTCCTTGAATTGCAAAAATAACTTATCCAGGCCGCTTATGAGATTACAATGGATTTATTATTGTTGTTGTAATGTATCCAAGTCTTTATAAATTTTATGATGAGTTTATGAACATTTTATCTTAGATCAAAGATTAAGATGATAGTGAAAGTAGTTTTATTCACATTAACTTAAGTGATCATTGATTAAGATGATATGCCAATGTTCAATTCTATTATTTCAATTATTACATGTGAAAATAATGAAAATTTCAAGAAGGGTTATGATAGTGTACCTCAGAGGACATATCAGCAACTAGGGGAGCAACGGCTGCAGCACCGCCCAATCTGCTCATACTCAGAACCTGAGTTTCACACAGAAAATAAAACAAAAAATGAAGCACAAAAACACATGGAATTGACAGAAAGTAATTCTTTACAATAAAAAAAACCATATTCACCAACTAATTTTAAAATATTATTTCCCATCAAAGTTGTCAACAAGGAAGCATCCTTTATAATTTAAAAAATCTCAAACAAAATTAAAATATTAAAAGTAAAGAATGAAAAAGAAAGAGAGAGTAGTAGTAGTAGTACTTTGACTTGGAGCTGGAGGAATTTGACATAGTCGATGATCTCATCCAGCATTGAAGCCTTGTCCGTCTGTCATTCCATAACCCCAATAAACACAATCACGTTAGTATCCCATTAATGTAAATACCAAATACAATTAGCCTTGACGTAACTGGTAAAGTTGCTGCCATGTGATCAGGAGGTCACGAGTTTGAGCCGTGAAAATAGCTTCTTGCAAAAAATACAGGGCAAGGCTGCGTACGATAGACACTTGTGATCCGACCCTTCCCCGAACCCCGCACATAGCGAGAGCTTAGTGCACCAGACTGCCTTTTTACACAATTTTACATTAACTTTCTTCTCTTAAATTAATTTAAAACACAACTTTTATTATGTCGACACACAATAAGTGAAGAACAATATAGTATACTCCCTCTAATCTCGGATACCAAACTGAATGTTTTTAAAATATTTGACCTTTTATAAAAATAATACTAATCATTTATTCGAGTATTTTCTTAAAATTCATCCTTATTCCTCCAACTAGTGAAATATTAATTATGTGAGACGTTTAACAAAGAATATAAGATAATTTTGATAAATATTCTTATGATTAAAGTTATATGAAATCATTTATAAGGGGTGCGCAGGAGGTTGTACAAAAATATTTAGTAACAACTTACAATGCATCGATTGTTTAATAGATATTGATATGACATATATTTGTACGTAAACTTCTATCATTTAGTTATTAAAATTATTTAAGGTCAATGAATATTTTGCTACAGTAATATGAACACACAATAGATTAGATGCGGTAACTATCAGCAATCCCCGGGAGAATCTCTTTTCCAGTTTCATTTTCAAGTACGCACGGAACGAAATACAAATTTACTATATTCTCCTCACACACTTTTCAATTCTACTCGCCCTAATATTTCAACACGTGTCCACTTGAAGATTATGATATCCATCACCATCAGGCACATGGGACGACAAATAGTAGAGTTACACCCAGAGCAGTTACAGTTTATTATATGATTAAATTTCTAATTTATGGAACAAATGATAATGATAATTTAATTAAAGTAATGATAGGATAATTAATGATTAAATTAAAATTAATTAGATTTTAATTTACTTGGGGGATGGTGAAATTACCTTATTGGCATTGGGTACCAGCTCCTGCAATGCCTTCATTCTCTCTGCAATTCTCTCTCTACGTAACTGCCCACAAAACAGAAACCCAGAAAATGCGGAAATCAGAAAACTGAACATAACAAACACGTAAAAAATGTAAGGGGTAAAACTGTAATAAAACCATACTCGTTCAGCAATACTGTGAGGATCAGTTGCTTGTCCTCTACGAGCTCTCACTCGCTGTTGCTTTGGCTGTGCCGCCGGCGTTGTAACTCCACCAGCTGAACCACTTGCTGCCGGAGTTTGATTCATCGCCGGCGCCGTTGCCGGAGCTCCGAAACTCTGCGCCTGCATCGATCCTCCCTATAATTTTCGAAAATAATGTATAAATAAATTATCGTTAAACAGTTTATAGTAATAAAATATGAAAGTGTATATATATATGCATGTAAAATTGTGTATGGACCTGAGGATGGTGAAAATGTTGAGGTTGACTTGAGTTTTGACCAAGAGATCCGGTGAATCCGTTGAAAAGAGCTTGAACGGAACTGTCATTAGCCTGTAATTAATGAATCGTTTAATAATTAGGAAAAATTATTAAAAACAAGGCATAAATACGATTGAATTTACTGCGGAAAAAAAAATGAAACTCACCGGATTTCCGACGCCGTCGTTTTGGTCACCATTACCGAGCATGTTAAGGAAGCCGTTATCGCCGGAGGCTCCAGTAGGAGACCTAAGGCCGTTTCCGGCGAGTGTTCTAGAAAGCAAAAGTTGCTGCTGGAGCAAAAGTGCTTTAGCAGCTGCTACAGCGCCGCCACCACCGCCACCGCCACCAGTGATCTGGTGCTGGCGGAGCTTGGCAGCAAGGAAAGAAGAAGACTGGTCGTCGTATTGGAAATGCTGAAGAGGATTAGGAGGAGGCTGGTGGTCATCGCCGGAGTTAGGGTTAGGCAGCAGCGGCGGAGAGAGGTGGTGGTGTGGGTCCCAGGATTTGGAAAGGTCAGGCCAACAGGGTGAAGAAGAAGGAACAGAAGAGAGAATCTGGTCGAGGAAATCGTCGTGAGACGACGTCGGATCGAACTGGTTCATTGCTTGCATTATTTCTCTGCATAAAAATGGTTCCATTAAAATCACATAAACTGTAATTTCAGAGAATTAAAATAGAAAAAGCAAGAGAGTTTTAGTTGATTACCTGAGAAAATCCTTTTTATTTTGTTTTGTTTTCCTCTTTAGTAGCTTGTGGGCAAGTATATGACTCAATTTAGAAAGAGATGATTCTGTGGAGAAGAGAGAAAGATTGAAGACATAAATGAATCATATGTTATGGTTTCGGAATGTTGTTTATATAGGTCGTGTGTATGTGTTGATTTCAAACCACCCCCCCCCCCCAA